GTATTTCATACAATTATATCTTTCTGATAAAGCTTAATCTCTAACCTATTTTTTTAATCGTCCAATTTTCTAGAATAGTTTTTCTTTTATTCTTCCTCTCACTTTCCTCTTGTAAAACCTTTCTCAAATTTGATTGCACTCTTCAAATTCTGTCCACCTACCCTGTTGTGTTTATAACACAAAACAAGAAAACCTAAGTACAATATAATAGAAGCCACTGTAGAACAAAGGTCAAAATCTTACACACTGAAGTCAGTTATCTTCCCCAGTACAACAACAATGTTTCTCTGTTTTACTTATTCAGTTTTGATTTCCATTGCTTTAATTTACCTTTCTAAGCATATCACAATGCTTGTTTTTTTTCCTTGGGGATGGGGTGAATAATAATGCCATTATTTTATTTATCTATTTGTTTTTTAAATCTGCCTTTTTAAAAGTCTCTACTTTTTTGAAAAGTCTGTTTTTTTTGAAAGGCAGAGTTCCAAAGACAGAGAGGAAGAGACAGAAAGCGATCTTCTATCCTCTAGTTTATTTGCCAAATGGCTGAGCCAGGCCAAACCCAGGAGCCTGGAATTTTATTTGGATCTTCCACATAGGTGCCAAAGACTGAAGCATTCCTGCCCTCTTCTGCTACTTTCCCAGGCACATTAGCAGGGATTGAAAGTGAAGCAGCTGGGACTCAAACTGGTGCTCATGGGATGCCAGTGTGGCAGGTGACAACCCAACCTACTACACCACAAACACTGGCCCCAATAACATCTTATTTATGCAAACATAGTAGTGATGTTTATTTTCTGCTTATGAACAGAAATCTCAGTTTCTTAAAATTACATTTTTGAACTGGAGCTTAAATTCTAATTCTCTAATTCAAGAATATAGAATCTTGCCAGAATCTTGCCCTCTACCCTTCTCCAGGGTTTTCTACAACCCTGTAGCCCTCTCTCTGGTTTGGCATTTTCACACAGGACAGATTTTCCAGCCCAGATGGAAATGTTTCTGAATTAGATTGTTCTATGGCTGTTTTACCACCATGCTCTGATCTCCTAGTATTTAATTGATTCATGCCTGAGTTTGCAGTGCCCTTTGGCATTGCAACTAATGCTTCATATCTGAAATATCCCCCTCAACCTTTCAGTAAACTTGATTATAAACCGTGAAGTTCATCAAAATTAGGCAATCTGATAAGATTCGGCCCCATGAAGGAACTAAGAGCTAATGAAATTGCATGTGTTTTTTTTCCATTTTAGTTTTGGATCTTGTGTGATTAGCTGTACACAGTAATTCATGAATACAACTAAGGCCCACTTTCCACTTCAAGTCAACTCCCTGGCTCAGTGATGAATTGTGATGTCACAACTGAATGGGTCAGTCAGCCTTACTTCCATCAGGTTTTAATGGCAAAATAGTATATTTTATCATGTAATCAAGTGAATTATGCTTTGTTTCTATATAAAAGAAAACTGTTGGAACACCAAACAGAGTTGTTAATTAATCATTAATTTGCATGCATTTTAAGAAACATCATGAGAGAACTTGTTGTTCTCTGCTCTGGTTACCTATTCACACAGTATGAAAACTGTTTTGCACTTGAATATTAAAAAAGAAAGTTGAGTTGCTGCATTAATTATAGCAATATATACAAGTACTAATCATAAGTATGAAGTAAATACTTTTCCATACGAATATTTTTGAATCTTTAAAAAATAATTTTATTTGTTCAAGACTCCTAATTGCATGCAGTCTAATATCCAAAACCTGTAACTCAAAAATGTTTAAAAATAGATTAAAAATATATTTTAATTTCCAAATGCAATCTTTAGATGATCTCCTAACACACTAAGAAAATTCAGAAATGTTTCAATCACAGATTTTACATTAGACTAAAGATGCATTGAGCTTCTTCTGAAATGCCTATGTCAAAGGCAGAAGTAATTCCACCTAGAATCACAAAACCATACAATATATTGTGAGAGAGAAATAGTGTTCCTTGAAGAATGGGGTTTTTATTCAGATACACATAAGAGGGAACATGAAATCTATTATGAACATTAGACCTTTGCGTAGCTTGGTTAAGAGGCTTTACTCCATGAAAAAGACACTAGAGGATTTCCCTGTGAGACATTCATGGCATCTGCAATTCTAATATGTAGAAAAATTCAAGGAATGTGCTAATCTAGGAAGACTAAGGTTTCAACAAACAAGCAATTACAGGCAATCATTCCAGTATAAATATAACTTTAATTGCTAAATTTGTTAATGCTTTTCTCAAGAAAGAATCAAATTTAAACATAAATTTATTGCTATGAAATATGTGTTATGTATTATGAGTCTCATAAAAATCAACAAGGATGTGAATACTGAAACTTTGCACATAACTTTTTATAACCTTATTTGTTGAGGGTTTTTCTTCTCCATTTAACACCTCTTACATGTTTTTCCCATGACTCCTTCAATGAGAGCTTCCTTCCATCATCAAACTGAATTCCAATTTACAAGACTGAAATAAATCATGCAGCCAAGCTTTCTTACATTTACCAGTAAGATAAGTATCTCAAGTACCAATGATTCTAATGTAAATCAAACTTTTGGGGGGAATTCCAAAATTTTTAATAAAACATGGCAACCCAGCATCATTTGTCCTGTCTGGTTGGTGTGTAACAGCGTTGCATTCTAATGTGAAAGACAAAATGTAAGTGATATGGAAAGGGAAGTTTAATTAAAATTAGCTTTCCTTTAAGAAAACGTATTTCTAAAAGCAATCTTTACTTTTGAAAAATAGAACAAAAAGTATATTGTATGTTTGTATAAAAAGTATATTGTATATTTGTATATAAAATATATTTGTATAAACAGGTAAAAGAGAGAATCAAAATTATTTCTATTTCAATATGTGCCCATAGAAAGGACAAAAGTTTTTCTTAAAATGATTATGCTTTGTTTTATTGTGTGGTGCTTGGAAAAAAAGAAAGCCTATAGATTAGTTAATCCAAGGCTGGCAATTAAGGAGTTACAGATACCAACTTTAATTTCCTAGACTATTTTCAAATCTTTACTTTACATTTGCTAATGTAGCTACTGGAAAATCTATCTAAATGTACACATGAGGGATCTTCTAAAAGATTATGGAAAATATATATTATGAAAAAACTATGCATAAGTTTCAAAAATGTCTTCACCAAGATAAACCTCTTTCAATTCCATTTTCCATGAATGTTTTTGAAGTATCATCATACATATTTTCCTCCTCACAATTTCATACAAGTTTTTTTTTTGAAAGGCCTTTTGATGATCATCTCTAAATATTCAGTCACTTTATTAGTATTTGGAAAGAAAGTGTAAAACTTATCTTTATGACCAAAAAATATCCCTTTTCTGAAGTCTTTCAAATTTCCTGTTTCTTAAAAGTTATTCTTGCCAATAATAATTCTCTAGTACTGCCCAACACAGTATGTATGGTAATAATACAACACATCATGGTAGGTACAGTAACTGTGGAAAACAGTTCATTAAAGATTATGCAATAATAAAATAATTTATTAAATGAATTTGTACCACAATGGCAAACATTTATGTTTATAAAGTTAGCTTGAGGAATTATTCATGACTATCAGTTATATAAAATATAGCCATATAGTCATACATGACTCATTAACTAGGCATTCCTATGACTTACTTGCAAGTAGTTTGTTAACCTATTTTGTGGAATACATTTTGATGCTGTTAAATTGAGTATGGATTATGATAGACTGAAAAAGCTATTCCTTAGAGAAACTGCATATAGAGGTAAGATGAAGCAAAACTTGGGTAGTCTTTAAAGTAAGAATTATTTTACAATGTAAAGTTATAGCAAAAAGCAAGCTGGAATTTTACTTATAATTATCAATGGTAAATGTAATTCTTTGGGTGTTAGGTTCATAAATTCAAGCTTACATTTTGAAGAATATTGCATTTGAAAAACAAATACAGTAAAGTTAAGCTTATGAAGATATTGGGGTATTGCAAGAAATTAAAATTAGCTTTCCTCTAAGAAAACATATTTCTAAAAGCAATCTTTACAAATTTTTAAAATAGAGCAAAAAGTATATTTACCTTTGTTTTTGTTTGCTGCTGGTCCTTTAGTCACCTGGGGCAAAGCAGAGGTTGAGGGCAAAGGATGCCCCATCGGCTCAAAGAAACATGTTATTACAGGGGTGACTCAGGCCTCCAAGTTAAACTGGAAGCTCGCATTAAGTCTCTTTAAAACTGGAGTCAGAGTCTCTTAAAAAGCATCTTGGTATAAATGACCATTGCTTTCTGAAAATACCCAGTTTAAATTCACCGACTTCAGAAGGAAGAAAGAAAACTTTGATTGAGACTTTAGTTGGAAAACAGGGATGTGACAAGAACTGTATATTTAAGACATACAGATTAAAGAGAAAAGGGGGGCTTTGTGAACTACAACATATATTATTTTAAAAATAGATCCTAATATGCTATTTCTGATAATGGAATAACTGACCCTTGGTGGAACATTAGGCATTATTCTGAGAAAATACAGCATGAATTTACTAGAACTAATGGCTTAATATGGTAGGCTGAACATATGTATGTATTTATTGTGTAGTCATTAGCACATGACATTATACACACACACACACAAACACAAGAAAGAGTGGCATGACTCAAAGACTGATAAAACTGAGTAAGCCAGAAATTCTTAAAAAGTAAAAATAAAAAAAGCTTCAAAAAAGTTAAAAATCAAGAACAAACAAAAACAATAATAGAAAGTTACTCTTGAAATAGGTGTTGTCCCTTCCACTGAAAAGAGAAATCTTGAGATCTGAAAATTGAAAGTGGATGGAGTACCTATTATCAGAGCAATCAATTAAGATATTTCTTCCAGTACAATTAAACTGGTCAAAACTTTCAGTGCCCCAGCAAATGTAGAATGTCAAGTGTAAGAAAAAGAGGCTCAAAACAGAGAGGAGGCAGAGCACGAATTTGCAGCCAGACCGAATTTATTCAGAGAAAATAAATACACAGAGGTGGGTTACAAATCACAGGTGTGCACATTGATGGAACACATGGCAGAAGGCCCAAAAGGTGGGTGAGCAACTGCCAGTGTGCACAGACCGAACACGTGACAGAGGGCCCAGACCCCAGCAGGCTGGGCCTTTTTATATCTTAGGCGGCCTAGGGATGGGGGTGGGGGACAATAGGTGGAGGCAAGCTTCTCCACACTGGTTCTTCAGGTTTCGCTTGGGAGCTTTCAAACTTGGAAAAGAATGCAGGGGGTGGTGTGGGAAAAATACAGGATGTGAGACTGGTCTCTTGAAAAAAGGCAGGGGTAACAAGAACCTAAAATGGCTAAGGCTAATGTCCTTATTCCATAATCCTGACTCTGAATATATATAAGGAGATGGGGTGCCGGTTTCTTTCTGGCTACTTCCTGCTGATGCAGGGTGTTGAACGGGATGAGTATCTGTACTCTGGATCAGATTGATTGAAGAAGAGCAGTCTTGTGTTGTTCCTGTGTGATGGCTTGGGATACAGCAGTCTCTCCCTCCTGAAAGGACTTTTGAAATATGTTAATTATACATAGTAAGAATAGGAGCACCATGATCATGAGAGTGAAAGGAGAAATTAGAAACATTGCCTATGGTGGAAAAGACAGCCAAAATGAGGACAAAGGGGGAAATAGGAAAGCAAGAGTCCTGTCCACATGCTTGGTTGCCAAAGAGAAAGAACGCCCTCTTTTGCTTAGTGTGTACACTCTCTCAAGGAGCTGTGGGATGGAGTTAGTCTGGCCTGCTTCTAGTCCTGAGCTCCCTTATTTGCTCACTCTGCTTATGGAAACCCTGGCTGCTGTCAGGGGTTTCAGCGAGGACTGAAGCTGAGTTTTTCAAACTGAGTAGGAGCAGAGTAGGCACCCATGGTCAAGACAGAGTTCCAGCTGAAGGTAGCCTCTTTAGGGGGCTACAGCACTAGCTCACATTTGAGGTTTCATGTGCATGACCTTCTAGAATTTTATTGCCTGGAGCAAATGAATCTAACAAGCAGATTAAATACACAGGGCCTAAAACTAAGGACAGAGACACTATTAGAGGACCTAAGAAAGGTGCTGTTCAAACCAGGAGGGAGTTTTCCTATTGAGAGGCAAACAGAAACTGACAGGAGCTCAAAAAGAATCATGTGGGCATTAAGGTTTGGCCAGGTGCATATGAAGTCCACAGCTGTCTCTTCACATGGAGTACTGGAAGATACATCATAAGGGAGTTGTTAACCTCCTTAGGGAAAGATACCCTCTTGACTTCCATTACCTAACTGGCCTGAGAGGAAGGCTGGCCTTAATAAGAGGTTAGTACCGAATGGGTGGCATCTCAAAGCATATCTACAGCTCTGCCTGGATTGTTACTGACCCTAGGCTGTCCCCCCGATGATGGTGGTTACTTTGGAAGCTGGGCAGAGTGAAGTGCTTTTTCACCATGGGTGGTGTTGAAATCAGGCTTCACTGCATTTGAACAGCAGGCAGAGTCCTTTCTGGAGCTGCTTGTTGGGGGAGGTGCAAAGCACTTGCATGGACCCTGATAGGATTGGGCCAGAAGATATGAGAAAACCTCCTGAGTGAAGTTTACAATGCAGTGTGTTAGGAGTTTGGAATGTCCCAGATGCAATAAGCATTCTGCTAGCCTTTACACTATCTGCATCCAGGAGGAGAGAGGAGAGGGAAGGGTCAGGAAGAGGAAAGAGTCAGTGTGTGGGGAAGAGCCAGACAGGGGAGCAGGGCAAATAGAGGGTCCTGTTTCTGAGGTGGCAGCACCCTTGAGGGAGCAGCAAGAGCAGAAGAAGGGAAAGTCTAGGGCTCAAGAGGAGGCCCCAAGCCTTTTTTCCTGCCAGAGGGCTTGGAATGAGGGAAGATGACCTCCATGGCAGGCCACCACAAAACACACCAAATGCTGGAGTAAGTATTGATGGGGAAAACCTGACAGGTTGGAAGGGGAGAGCAAATAAAAGGGCCTAGGTCAGAAAACAGACCTTGCTATAGACTCGCAGAGGTGAGCGAATGGGAACAGCTAATCCCATTAGAGTGGGGGTGGGGTTGCCACTTATGACTGGGCCATTGGGTCACCTGACTCCTAACAAGCCAGCTGGGTCCTGGAGAGGCCAAGATGGCGCCCGGGGCTTTAGATAAGACAGCATCATATCGCTAACACTCCGAGGAGGGCTAAGGCTTAGATGTACGGTAATCAGGGTCTGCAGATGGAGGGTCAGGAGAATCCTGGGTTGGAAGGGCGGAGGGTGCATATCACAGAGAGAGTGGGACGAGGGAGAGAACAGTGGGGTGGAGGGCCTACAGGAGGCTTTTCTCCCTTGAGGAGAGCAGTATAGAGAGAGTTCAGGGGAGAAGAGGGTGGAGGGGCGGCAACTGCCCCTGTTGCTGCTGGCGAGAGGGAGGAGGAGGCACCGGAGAGAGAGGGGCATGGAGTGAGCAGAGGCTGTGTGTTTCTGAGACGCTGACTTCTCAAGTGAAGAAAGAGAAGGCAGAGGTGGGGAGATAGAAGATTTAAGGAGGAGCTCCAGGCCTTCTTCCTCCATGAGAAGCTGGACTGTGGAAAGCTGACCGCAGAGGAGGAAAAAAACTTGGAATAGGAGACCTCTGACCATTTGCCATTTTTCTGTGTAAAACTATTAAGGTCACGCAGAATTTGGAGATCAAAGGTGCTGAATTCTGGCCATTTTGAGTCATTGCCTCATTCATATTGTGGCCAAATTTTAGTACAGAGTAATTAATTGCTTCTACTTCATCTTTCCCTTTAGAACCAACTTGCGAAAGCTTTTTAAGAGGCAGGCCAGAGGGGAGTTGGGTGAAATATGAGAAATTTTAGAACCCATGGATTAGGCAAAATATGGCTTGAGAGAAGAGACTCCTTTCACAAGGTACCCCCAAGAAAGAATAACCTCAACCAAGAACCTAAGTCCTGAGTCCTCTAAGAGGACAGAACGAGAATCTCCACACTTAGATCAGCATCCCAGTTCTAAGCTGTGGTGGATGGGCATTTCCCCCAAGCAAGGGAAACCAACTGAACACCTTGAACCCTAAATGGGGGATGAACCAGGCACATGTCACCAGAGTGTATTTGAGGCAATGGAGGCCTCACTTACTAATGCAATGGGTCAGGAATGAGATCCTATGTTGGATGCAGGAATGAGATCTGGCAAAAGGCTCTGGCTATAAACTCATTGGGAAAATGAGGACATGCAAGTGAGAGTGAGAAAGTGACTAAGGCTGTTCTCAACTTTTCTGGGAGGTTTTAGAAAAGTGTCTCTCAGGCTCATCCAGGTCACTCCAAGGAGGATAACCAGGGGAATCCTGGAAGTTGCACCCTTCCCTCCCAACCCTTGAGGAGAAGCCAAGTCAGAAATGAAAGCAGAGAGGGAGATAGACTCTTAGATATCCTGTCAGGCTGTCAGGGTCTGGTTTTCGTCAGGAAAAGTTCAAGCCTTACCAGAGAGGACCTGGTCAGAGGCTCTCAGTCATCTACCAGGTTATTCTCAGTCCCATGCAACCATGGTATCTCTCTTGATAGGAAAACGAAGATGATATGGAAGAACAAATAAGACGTGGGCATGGATTCATCATCTTTCTGGGTCTAGCTTATTTCACTCAACAAGATGTCCTCCAGTTGTGTCCATGTTGTTGCAGATGGTAGAATTTCATTCTTTTTTTTATACTTGAGTACATACGCTTTATTTTCTTTATTCATTCATCCGATGATAGACACCATGATTGATTCCAAATTCTGGCTATTGTGAAGAGTGGTGCTATAAACATGGTGGTGCAAATATCTCTTTGATACAATGTGCTTCAGTCTTTGGGTATATATACAGTAGTAGGATTGCTGTATCATATGACAAGTCTATTTCTAGTTTTTTGTTTGTTTGTTTTTGACAGGCAGAGTGGATAGTGAGAGGGAGAGACAGAGAGAAAGGTCTTCCTTTGCCATTGGTTCACTCTCCAATGGCCGCCACTGCCGGCGCGCTGCGGCCGGTGCACCATGCTGATCCAAAGGCAGGAGCCAGGTGCTTCTCCTGGTCTCCCATGGGGTGCAGGGCCCAAGTATTTGGGCCATCCTCCACTGCACTCCCTGGCCACAGCAGAGAGCTGGCCTGGAAGAGGGGCAACCGGGACAGAATCCGGCGCCTGGGACTAGAACCCGGTGTGCCAGCACCACAAGGCGGAGGATTAGCCTGTTGAGCCGTGGCACCGGCCTATTGCTAGTGTTTTAAAAAATCTCTACACCACTTTCCACAGTGGCTTCACTAATTTATATTCCACCAGCATTTGTTACTCTCCATGTTTTGGATTTTAACCATTGTGACAGGATGAGGTAATATCTTACTGTGGTTTTTATTTGCATTTCTCTGATGGCTAGTGATATTGAAAATTTTTTTCATGTATCTGTTGGCCATTTGTATTTCTTATTTTGAAAACTGTCTATTGAAGTACTTTGCCTATTTCTCACCTGCATTGATTGAGTTTTTGTTGTTAAGTCTTTTTAAGTGGCTGATACATTCAGGATATTACTCTTTTGTCAAATAGGTAGTTTGCAAACATTTTTTCCCATTCTGTTGGGTGTCTCTTCACTATTGATCACATCCTCTGATGGGAAAAAGCCTCTAAATTAGATACAGTACTATTTGTTTAGTTTTGCTTTTGTGGCCAGTGCTTTGGGAGCCTTCTCCAAGAAGCTGTACCCTACACCAGTGTCTTAGAATGTTTTTCCTAGATTTTTGCCCAGCAACTTTATAGTCTCAGGATTTAAATTTAGGTATTTGGACTATCTTAGTTGATTTTTGTATGTGGTGTATGGATCTAATTATATATGTGTGTGTATATATATATCTGTATATATTCCAGTTTTGCCAACATTGTTTATTGAAAAAAGAAATTAAAGGGATAAAAATTGGGAAGGAAGAAGTCAAACTATCCCTCTTTGCAGATGATATGATTCTTTATTTAGGGGATCCCAAGAACTAACTAAGAGACTATTGGAACTCATAGAAGAGTTTGGCAAAGTAGCAGGATATAAAATCAGTGCACAAAAATCAACAGCCTTTGTATACACAGACAATGCCATGGCTGAGGAAGAACTTCTAAGATCAATCCCATTCACAATAGCTACAAAAACAATCAAATACCTTGGAATAAACTTAACCAAGGACATTAAAGATCTCTACGATGAGAATTACAAAATCTTAAAGAAAGAAATAGAAGAGGATACCAAAAAAGGGAAAAATATTCCATGATCATGGATTAGAAGAATCAACATCATCAAAATGCCCATTCTCCCAAAAGCAATTTATAGATTCAATGCAATCCCAATCAAGATACCAAAGACATTCTTCTCAGATCTAGAAAAAATGATGCTGAAATTCATATGGAGGTACAGGAGACCTCGAATAGCTAAAGCAATCTTGTACAACAAAAACAAAGCTGGAGGCATATCAATACCAGACTTCAAGACATACTACAGGGCAGTTATAATCAAAACAGCATGGTACTAGTACAGAAAC